AATTGCTCAGGCTGGCCTCAAACTTATGATACTCCTGTTTTAGTCTCCCAAATAGCTGGGATTATAAGCGTGTGCTACTGAACCTGGCAGACTTAGCAGTTTTTAAACTGTGTTCCCTGGGATTTGTCCCTTGGAAGGACCAAGGAGGGGAGTGAAGACTGGTTGACTTCCACTGCATGTCCCCATTCTGATTCAACCAGTTATGTTTTTTGTCTTTGTTTTGGGATTCTGCATAAAATTGAATTTTTTTTTTTTAGTTGTAGATGGACACAATATCTTTATTTATTTATTTTTATGTGGTGCTGAGGATCGAACCCAGTGCCTCATGCATGTGAGGCAAGTGCTCTACCACTGAGCTACAACCCCAGTCCCTGAAATTGAATTTTTAAGAGTTTATATCTATAAAAAAACACCACCAAAATAAGTAAATAATAATAAACCACCACTGGAGATACAATCAATAAAACTGAGGATATGGAATCCACTACAGAATATAAAACCTAGTTTCTTTAAGAAACAAATGGCAAGGAAACAGCAAAGGAAGGGAGAACCTATAGAATTAAAGTCCATGAAGCTGGCATGGCAGCACACACGTGAAATCCCAGCAGCCGGGAAGCTAAGGCAGGAGGATCACAAGTTCCAGGCCAGCCTGGGCAACTTAGTGAGACACTGTCTCAAAATAAAAAATAAAAAAGTCAAGGTGTGTGGCTCAGTGGTAGAGCACCCCTGGGTTCTATACTTTGTGTGTGTGTTCTACACACACACACACACACACATACACACACACACACAAAGAAGAAAAAGAAAAAGTCTATGAAATAAAAGCCACATCAACCAAACTCTATGTGTGAACCCTGTTTAGATTCTTATTTTTTATTTTTAATATTTATTTTTTAGTTTTCGGCAGACACAACATCTTTGTATGTGGTGCTGAGGATTGAACCTGGGCCGCACGCATGCCAGGCGAGCTACCACTTGAGCCACATCCCCAGCCCTAGATTCTTATTTGAATGCATCAATATATAACAAAGTCAGAGAAATTTTAACACAGACAGGGTATTTGGCAATATAAATAGTTAAGCTATTTATTCTTTAGCTGCAATAACTGTGTGTGGTTGTTAGCAAAGAGTATTTTTCTTTTAAAGATAAATACTGAAATGTCTATGGATAAAATATCTGTCTAAAATTTGTTTTAACCCAGTGGCTTGGGAGGCTGAGGCAGGAAGATCACAAGTTCAAGGCCAGCTTCAGTAAGTTAGTGAAACTAAGTAACTCAGCAAGACCTTTCTCAAAATAAAAAATAAAAAGGTCTGGGAATGTTGCTCAGTGGTTAAGTGCCCCTTGGTATGAAAGAAGGGGGGGGGAAATTATTTAAAAATCATCCAGTACAGAAGAAGTAGGGGAGCTAGTGGGTGGGGGTAAAGATGAATCAGGATTATGCTCATAATTGTTGGAGCTGAGAGATGAGTACATGGGGATCACTTATTCTTTCTTTTTCTTTTCTTTCTTTCTTTTTTTTTTTTGAGAGAGAATTTTTTAAAATATTTATTATTTAGTTTTTGGTGGACACAACATCTTTGTATGTGGTGCTAAGGATTGAACCTGGGCCAGCGTGCTACCGCTTGAGCCACATCCCCAGCCCACTTATTCTTTCTTTATAAATGTTTTAACATTTCCACAAGAAAAAAAAAACAAATTAATAGAGACTTTATAAAGATGATTTGGAATTGTCTTATTTTTCAAAGTAAGAGCTTTATCAAAATATAATTCATATTCCATACAATTCACCAATTTAAACTGTACAATTCAGTGGTTTTGCAGTCATTCTCCATTTCCTCCAACCCTACAGCCCTAGSCAGTCACTAATCTACTTTCTGTCTCTTTGAATTTGCCTATTCTGAACGTTTCATCTAAATGAATCATACAATATGTGGTCTTTTGCGACTGGATTTTTTTCACCTTGGCATAATGCTTTCAAGTATAACTTTGTCTTGAACTTTTCTGGTCTTATTAGAAAAAGAGCCATCTTAGAGAGTTTTAAATAAAGACACTTGGAGGAGGTTTAAATAAAGTTGGGGCAGGGAACCTAACTCTAAAAAAAAAGCCCTTTTCTAGTTAAACTCCTCACATCACGTTTAGAGAAATAAGGGCCCAGAGAGGGAAGTGAGTCACCCAAAGGCACACAGCTTAAGGACAGAGCTGAATCCAGTGCCCAGATCTGTGGAACTTTGGCTTCATCCTCTTTTTGTCTTGTCACACTGCCTTCTGACCTAACACACATGCCCGTGCCCCCCACCTCACAACACCTTTCCCACCATGACTCATAGACATGTGATTCTCAAGATATCTCTGGAGACACATCTTGAGACAGCCTTGGTGGAGGCTACTCTGTGTCACTGCGCAGACTTTCTGCTACATTTCCCTGAATGTAGCCACCCAGGGAAAAGTCAGTGCTGGCATCAGCTCCCAGAATTTCTACCTCAGAGGAATTCAGGAATGGCAATCTTGTTAGAAGGCAGAGGAATCTATCTGCACAGCAGGAACTCTTTTTACTTGTATTGAATGTTTATTTGGAATGGCTGGTGGAAGTTGTATGTGGACAGGTAGACTGGGAGAGAACATAGAGAGAAGCCTAAGACCTTTGGGGTTGCAATTGGAGGGAACCCAGTTAAGGGTTAAGAAGACGCATAGGAATCCTACTGATGTTTCCTGAACTAAATACAGATGAGACAGAGGGTGGGGAATGGTCAGGTACAGAAGGAGAAGGTCAGGCTGAGGGAAAGGACTCCAGGTTGTGGCAGCTGCTCTGGAACTCTCCCAAGCTACACTATGGGCAGCTCAGAGAATCTGTCAGTTTGCTTTAAAAGGGCAAGAAGAGGACAAATTCCATAGATAGAATATTATCAGAAGGCTGAAGATGAGACCTGGGTGAAGGTCAAGGGAAGAAACTTCCAGAGAGCCTGGGACAGGAAGGTAACCAGCTAATGGTAGCCCCTGAATAACTCTTTTTCTACCCTAAAGCTTCTCTCAGGTAATTGCCATACCTGGAAATGATAGGGCTTAGGAGATGGGCAGAGGGCAGTGCAGGCCTTGGCCCAAGAGCCCTCTGCCAGGCAGCTTGAACTTGGAAACCACAGGGTAGAATGGAAGGACACTAGTTAGGTTACATTCTCAAAATAATCTCCACTCTCCTGCTGTCCACAGTAAGCACAGGAAATCTCACTTTGAAAGATCTGTCCGTTTGGGTCTTGGAAGGCTTTTAAACATCCTTCCCTTTCCTTCCTTCCTTCCTTCCTTCCTTCCTTCCTTCCTTCCTTCCTTCCTTCCTTCCTTCCTTCCTTTCTTCTTTCTTTCTCTGGAGATCATACCCAGGGTCTTGTGCATGCAAGGCAAGTACTCTACTACTCTACCAACTGAGCTATATCCTCAGCCCTAAACATCCTTTATTGTGGGGAAAATGTCCTTGGATAGCAACAGTGTGAATTAAGAGCTCAGATGGAATAAGACCCAGGGCATGTTGCTGGGTGCAGTGGCACATGGCCTGTAATCCCAGCAGCTCAGGAGGCTGAGGAAGGAGGATTGCAAGTTCAAATTCAGCCTTAGCAGTTTATCGATGGCCTAAGCAATTTAGGGAGATACTGACTCAAAATAAAAAATAAAAAGAACTCGGGATGTAGCTTAGCAGTTAAGCACCTCTGATTTCAATCCCTGGTATTAAAAAAAAGAAAGAAAGAAAGAAAGAAAGAAAGAAAGAAAGAAAGAAAGGAAGGAAGGAAGGAAGGAAGGAAGGAAGGAAGGAAGGAAGGAAGGAAAGGAAAGAATAAAAGACCCAGGGCTCCAGAGGTATTAGACTTGTCCAGGTGAAGAGATCTAAAGACAGACTCGGATTGCTCTCAAATTTGCCCTAAATTGGCTTCTGTTAATCCCTATTCCCCTGGAGGCCTTATTTGGATACCTTGGTTACTGGATAGTCAGTGATTTATATGAGCTATGTATATCCATGGTTCTGTCTAGTAGAGATGCCCCTGAGATGCAAGTACTCTGAAGGGCAGGGTAGATAGGCAGGATGAAGTTCATCTCAACCTTAGATTACCCTCCAGCTTCTAATCCCAAAGTCCCAGGCCTAGTCTTCCAGGCTGGACTTTAACCAGGTGACACATGTTAGAGTGTTAGTATCAGTTGGTGTCAACCTGGAATTAGACCTGCATCTGATTCATCCAGGAAGCTGAACCCAGGCAGCAGAACAAACACCTTTAAGCATCTCCTGCTAGGTCTGGGGTGAGAGGTTGTCTGGCTAACAGAGCATGCTCTGTTGTTTTGCTCTCTTCCTGTGCTTCACCCCCCCACTTGCAGATTCCCTCATTCTCTCTGCCAATCTCTGGTTCAAAAACTGTATGTTTGTTCATTTTGTGAAGGTTATTCCTGAGGGAGAGACTTTAAAAGAGGTACAGCAAGAGAGATTTAAAAAGGGTATCTTCAGAAGAGACTTTAAAAGGGGTACCGTAGGAGCTGATATTGGGAGGCAAAGCCAGAAGTCGGAAGTGGTTTGGATAGGAATTAGATGAAAACAAAGGGGTCAGAGACCTCTGGGGCCATCCTGTCCCTCCCCAATCCCAGGTGCTGCTTGTCCATAATTTAGGCAAGTCCTGTTCTCCTCTTGGGACAGTCCCTAAAACTCCATTTTGACTTCACCTTCTGTTTCCATGACTAGCTTATGTTTTTTGTTATCTGGTGGATACTCCGAGATTATTTAATTTTGCTTCAATTCCTCTCCTCCCTCCTAATACAAATACAAGACAGCGTGGGAATCCCCTTTCAAGAGGAAGCAACGGTGCAGCTTTAAGAGAAAGGGAAGGGAGGAAGAGGGCGCTGACTCAGATCCTCTTACCATTGGATGCTGCCGGGGATCCCACCCCAGGGATTGGCTTCGACAGAGTCCGCCTCCTCTTGTGATTGGCTCAACCAGACAAATATAAGGGCACTGTGCCGCTCTCCTGCTCAGTTGGAGGGAGGCAGGGAATTCAGCTGAGCTGGTGTGCTGGGGCACACCTGGCGCAACCCGCTCCTTTCTGAATCCCGAGTCCAAGTCTCTCGGAGGCTGCAATTATGAAGGAGAGACGGGCACCCCAGCCAGTGGTGGTCAGATGTAAGCTCGTGCTGGTGGGAGATGTGCAGTGTGGGAAGACAGCGATGTTACAGGTGCTAGCGAAGGATTGCTACCCGGAGGTGAGCTGCCCGTCGCCCAGCCTTTCTCCCTGCTCGCCCACCCGGGGTCGATTCCCACCTGCCCAGGAGAGCCGGCTTCCCCACCCCCAGCCTGCCCCACCCTCAGCTGCTCTCTGGCTGGAGGATTGCCCTGCCTTGGCTTCCCCTGAGACCTGTCCCACTTCTGCCGCCCCGCCGGCTCCTCTTCACCTCTTCACCTATTACATCCCCTCTTTTCTTTCGTCCCTGGAGGCACTGGAGAGTCTGGGGTTTCTTCTTAGGTAATACCTGCCCACACCCTCACTGGCTCCTCAAAGGTTCCATGAGTATGGCTGCAGGCAGAATTCTGTTGCCCTTTTTTGCTGTTCACCTGGGCCAAAAGGCTTGAGGGGAGAATATTGAGGTCAGAATTGGCTGGTTCTGAAATTGGGAGAGAAATCTGGGGATGGGAGGAGTGTATGTGTGTGTGTGTGTGTGTGTGTGTGTGTGTGTGTGTAACCATCTAGGATATGGGGAGGGGGCTTGCCCCTGGCTGGGGAAGGAGGCTGTGGTCATCCCTTGTATAGACCCAAGTGCCTGTGCCTCTATAGTCCTTTTTCTTCTGTCCCATGTGTTCCATCCTGCCCCATGTATCCCCTCCTTTGGCTCCTTATCCCCTGACACTTTAGTGTCTCAGAGGGTGGTGAGTGGCTTCTCCTGTAACCAGCACTAATTGGAGGGCTTCCTCCAATTAGTGAATGCTTCCTCTCTTCTCACAGACCTATGTGCCTACTGTGTTTGAGAATTACACAGCTTGTTTGGAGACAGAGGAACAGAGAGTGGAGCTTAGTCTCTGGGATACATCAGGTAAGGCTATGGTCCCAAATGTCCCTTTCCCACTTCCACTGGTAGTCTGCTGTATGTCTTTTAAAAATTATTTTCCCATTTGGTGGGGAGGAGAATAGGGAGCTGAAAATTCCTTGAYTGGGAGTGGGGGCCATTGGTATCCATTGGGGGAGTGGATACAGCCCAGAAAACGCCAAGTTCTCTGGGTCTAGTTCTATCTTTCAGAGGCTGGGATGGTGAGGTGAAGTGGCCCATGAATACTCCTGGGGGTAGCAGGCAGGGCTTCTCCATTTCCACTCCCGGCTGCCCAACATACACACACACACACACACACACACACACACATACACACACACACACACACACACGCACGCAGAAACACACACACACCCCTACACTGCCCATCCTTGCACACAGCCTTTAGTTCCCCAGAGCAAAGTTGAATCAGTCAGGAGGCAGTTCTGCTGGAGGATGTTGGTGGGGCAGGGAGACAAGCCTGCTTTGGGGTGAATATTGCCCAGACTCAGTTTTCTCTCTTGCATTCCATCTTGGGCCACTGCTCAGCCTGCCGCATCTCAGCTCCACTCGTCACACTGCTGCAGCTTGGGGGATGAAGCGATGCATCATCGATGTTTTGGAGGGTGGGGGAGATGGCTTAATCTAGGGCATGGTCATGTTGTGAATAGTGGTCTTCAGGGTGAAGGCTCTGACTATTTAACCTGTTCTGGGGTGAAGTAGAAAATGCTCTGTCTTTTGAAAATGGGAAACAATGTTTTCCCAGGCTCTCAACCCCAATCCTTTAGTGTTGGGCTATCCTTTGCTTTGATTCTGAATCCTTCTCATTTTCTCTTTACCCCCAATATTTTTTTTAATAGACTGGCTCACAGTCAAAATAAGGAGTAGAATTCAGCAAAGAAAGAAAATAAAATCCACTCCGATGCATATTCAGGCTGAGTTTAAAGAGGAACTATAAATCACTAGGGGTTTCCTATTATCTGTAAAAAGAATGCCGCCCTACTCCTCCAAAAGCTGTTGTTCTCATGCTCCAATTTTGAGGTCTGAAAAGATTGGAGGTGGGAAGATGGGTATAAAGAAAATGAGACTCTCTTTTCCCAAACAAAAATTCCTCAAGCTGGTATGCTTTCCTCGGTTGCAGTGCCAGGGGCAGGGAGGCAGGGTTTGGGTTATCCTGGTCTGTGCTACGCTGGCCTGAATCGGACTGGAATGCAGCTTGGCTGCATGATGTATGGTTTTTATTCTGCTGTACCCTCTCACCTCCCAGTCTTCTCAGAACCTTGCTGCAGCTCATCTCTTTTCACCACTACCGCCCAAAAACCATCTCTCCCCCTCCCTGCTCCTGCCCCCCCCCAGTCAGACTGCAGCCCTTGAATCCCCATCCAGATAATGGAAAAGCAGCAAATGTGGTCTCTATATCCTGTGTTGCACTCCTGTCCTAGGATTTCTAAAAGGATGAAGGTTATCAGTCATCCTCAGACTCCCTCCTTCAAATGAGGTTTCCATAAGAAAGGCAGGAAGTGGTGTTAATGTGTGGAATGGGGCTTCCACACATTAGGACCAGGGTAACCTGTTCCCATTATTCATTTGCTGGTCTTAGGGGAGGGGGATCGCTTGAGCCAAAATGGAGACCTCCTCCCCTCCCCCTTCCCTGTGCTGCAGTGCTCCCTTTCCTCAGTGCTGCGGTGGTCAGACCCCCACCTCAGAAAGGGACAGGTTGGATTGCTGAAGGAGCAGGCAGCTATCCTAACTCCCCCTTACTTATTTTTTTTAATGACCAACTCCCCCCACCCCAGCTTGGATTTCCCCCCAGTTTCCATGGCGATTGTGGTGCAGGGAGAGGGGCTGCTTGCTATTCTGAGCACGGATTGTCTGGGTTCCAAATCCGCTACTGTTCCTTCCCCAGGGTGGAGGAGGGCAGGCTCAGCTCCTAGCTTTCACCCCTATCACACCCCTGGGTCTGCGTTGCCTACTCCATCCAATGAAGGACCCTTGCTCTAGCCTCTAAGTGCCCAGCTATTAGTGCTGCTGTCTTTGAGAGTGCTTCCCTCTTAGGAGCCAGGGGTTAGAACTTTCCTTTTACCCTTTGCAATATAAGTTGATTTGGGTGGGTGGGGGTGTGGGGTGCTGAATCCTTGATGCTCTCCCCAGTCCAACTCTTAGAGTTCTGACCCCATGGCAAAATAATAGGGCAGCCAGTTATATAACAGGCTGTTTTTTTTTTTTTTGTTTGTTTGTTTTTTTCCTTCACTGAGGAGACCCTGGGGCAGAGGAAGGGAGCACAGGCTGGGCAGCAAGCAGACTCCCAAGGAGAACTTAAACAAACCCTGATGCTCCTGCAAGGGTTGACAGCATCTTTTGGGACTCAGAAAACTAATAGACCTTAAATAAAGCCCACTGTAGGAGATGCACACAGAGTCAAGTTATATTCAATCCCTTTTATTTTGCCCTCTTTCCGTTTTTTAAGACTAAGGAAGATAATAGTCTTACAGAGCCTTCTGGGTTGGGTCCCAAGCTTCCAGGCAGCATGCCTGGGAGATGGGTGGATCCTAAGGGATCAAAAATGGTATTCCCAGAGCCCTTGGGTTAGGGCCTATAGGGAGGGAAAATGCCATGGTTCACTATCAGCCCTTTCTCCCCTATTCCAGGATCTCCCTACTATGACAATGTCCGCCCACTCTGCTACAGCGACTCAGATGCAGTATTACTATGCTTTGACATCAGCCGTCCAGAGACAGTGGACAGTGCACTCAAGAAGGTAAGGAAGATAAACTACAACCTTGAACTCAGCAAGAGTATTAGAACCCTGGGGACCTTGTCTTCTATTTTTATGTACCATACCATCAAGAAACAGGCCAGGAAAGGCAAAGATTTGCCCGAGCCACACCATTAGCTACAACTCTGTGACTAGAACCTAGGTCTCCTTACCCCTCTACTTTCTGACCATTCCACTATCCCATATTGTTTTTCTAGAAGTCCAGCAAGGGGGGGGGTGGTGTTGAAGATTCTGGAAATGAAAGACTGACAGAGAATTTTCTGATGATGTGATTTGAGGGTTGGGGATGGGACATTTTGGAGGTAGATTCTATAGACCCTTGCCCACTAAGACAGGTGGTTCTGAGCTGAAGTGCTGACAGGAAATGCCTGTGTCTGGGTGGCAAGATATGCCTATACTGTGGAGTCCCAGGAAACCTTATGGAACTAGCCTAATTTCCCAGAAGACTCTGTGATTATGTCCTTCCCTTGGGAAGAGATTGGTTGTCTTTCACCGGCTATTCTTGACTTATGAGGCCCTTTGGGTTTTGGGGGGTAGATCCATGTCCTCTCTGTTTGGCAGGGAGTAGGAGGAGACTGGCCCCTGTGTTGTCCTTGGTGACTGGATTATTGAGTGAAGGGACAGGCTCTTGGGTCAGCACTCTGGTGCCACCAAAGGCCTCATGGGCAGAAAGATGATGTAATTAGTGCAGCAGAGATGCTGTGAGTCAGAGGGAGAACTGGGTTGGTGATAATCTGAGTGGTGAGTGTGTGGTGTTGCCAACTAGGCTTCTTCCAGTATCTGTCACTGACTCTCCTTCCTTCCTTCCCTCTTCCTCTTCCCTTCTTCTCACTTGGTGCCTCAGTGGAGGACAGAAATCTTAGATTATTGTCCTAGCACCCGTGTTTTGCTTATTGGCTGCAAGACAGACCTGAGAACAGACCTGAGTACACTAATGGAGCTGTCTCACCAGAAGCAGGCACCTATCTCTTATGAGCAGGTATGTGTATATATGAGTGTTCATGCTGGAGGGTGGGTGGAGAAGGCCACAGGCAGAGGCCTTGATACATGGCCTTTGCTCAAAGTTTCTTGCCATGGCAAGAGGGAATTGGTGTTAGGGACTTTATCTATAGTTACCAAATTAATCACTTGGATGCTGTGTTGAGTACCTACCTGTTTACCCAGATGTATGCTCTAGGTGAGTAGGTAAACAATTTGTGAGGGTTTTTTTTTAAACAATACCTTTATTTTGTTTTATTTATTTTTATGTGGTGCTGAGGATTGAACCCAGTGCCTCACACATGCCAGACGAGGGTGCTATCACTGAGCCACAACCCCAGCCCCATGTGAGGTTTTTTTTTTTTAATTTTTTATTTTTTAGTTGTGGATGGACCTTTATTTAATTTATTTATTTATAGGTGGCACTGAGAATCAGACCCAGTGCCTCACACATGCCAGGTGGGCACTCTACCACTGAGCCACAACTCCAGCCCCCATTGTGGGTTTTTAAGATTGCTTTCTGTAGACCACTTGCAGTGGAATCATTAGAGCTGCCTAACTGAGTGCAGTGGCACAAGCCTGTAATCTCAGCTACTTTGGAGGCTGAGGCAGGAGGATCATTAAGTTCCAGGCCAGCCTGGGCAACTTAGATCTTGTCTCAAAATAAAACTTAAAAAGGGCGGGGAATGAAGCTCAGTGGTGGAGGGCCCCCAAGTTCAATCCCCAGTATCATGCAGGAAAAAAAAATCATTAGAGGTCCTTGTTAGAATCTTGAATTCTTGTCTCCCTACCTGTAAAATCACTTTGGAAGCTGAGTGGGTGGCTCACAGTTGTAATCCCAGCGACTCGGGAGGCGGAGGCAGGAGGATCAAAGCCAGCTTCAGCAATTTAGCAAGGTGCTAAGCAACTCAGTGAGACCCTGTCTCTAATAAAATACAAAATAGGGTTAGGGATGTGGCTCAGTGGTCCAGTGGTACCAAAAAAAAAAAAATCCCTTTGGGAGAAAGACATGAAAATCTACATTTTTAATGAGAATCCTGGATAATTTCTAACACATAGAATCATTTCTTTTAAGCCAGTGTTTCTCATTAGAGTCATCTGGGAGAGCTCTTAAAAATATTAATGCTAGCTGGGCACAGTGCTGCACCCCTGTAATCCCAGTGACTCAGGAGGCTGAGATAAGAAAATCACAAGTTCAAAGCCAGCCTCCGCAATTTAGAGAGACTCTAGCAACTTAGACCATGTCTCAAAATTAAAAATAAATAAATTAATTAAAAGGGCTAGGGATGGAGTTCAGTAGTTAATCATCTCTATGTTCAATCTATGGTATCCCCCAAAATACACACACACACACACACATACATACATAGTAATGCTGGGATTGGGGATATAGGTCAGTGATACAGCATGTGCTTTATATGCATGAGGCCCTGGTTTAGATTCCTAACACCACACAAATAACAAACAAAAACCAAGTGCCTATACCCTATCCCCCCAAATTCTTATTTACTTGGTCTACGATCACTATAGTTTTGAAAGTGTTTCAGGTGATTCTAATGTGCAATCAGGCTTCACTTGCACAAAATAACCGGCTTAGGAGTTAGAGTTGTAGCTCCATGGTAGAATGCTTGCCTAGCACATGTGATACACTGGATCCAATCCTAAGTACCACCAATAAATAAATAAATTAATTAAATAAAGTCATGTGTCCATCTACAACTAAATATATATATGTATATATAAAATAATAATATAAAATATAAATATATATATAATATATATTCTATATATATAAATATATATAAAATAACCCACTTAGGCTGGTGATAGGAGACTGGCAGTGGGGTGCCATCTGGAATAATCCTAGGAGTAGCACTTAGAAGTTCACGGGTTTAACAACCATTTTGGACTACTGTATTAATGACTTCACCCCCTCCCTCAGGGATGTGCAATAGCCAAGCAGCTGGGTGCAGAAATCTATCTGGAAGGCTCAGCTTTCACTTCAGAGAAGAGTGTCCACAGCATCTTTCGGATGGCATCCATGGTGTGTTTGAACAAGCCTAACCCAGTGCCCCCAAAGAGCCCTGTCAGAAGCCTCTCCAAGCGACTACTCCACCTCCCCAGTCGCTCTGAACTCATCTCTTCTACCTTCAAGAAGGAAAAGGCCAAAAGCTGTTCCATTATGTGAAGTGGGAGTTGGGAGGGGGAGATAACCCCCCACTTCCTCCCTTAGGGTGCAGAGGCACGGGGAGAGGGAGGATGAGACAATTTAGGACACTGGACATGAGTTTTCAGATGGCCACTGTGAGGGCTTGGAAGGAGACAGGAATGGTATGAGGATGGAGCCAGGCCTGGCATGAGGACCTGACATTGAGCAAGAACCATCACACCCCAAGCCAGACACTAGGTTTGGAGGGGGCAGCTGCCCCAGTGCCCCTCACTCCAGAGGAAGAAAAGGTGTGGGGGAGTGGGGGGGCATGTTGGCCTCATGGGCTTGGGGGCCTACAGGAGCCTCACCTTCAGCATCATGCCTGTTCCACACAGTGTTTCCATGCAGGCTGGGGGATGGGAGGGGTCCCTGAGCCCTTCTCTTCCCCTCTAAGCAGGTGGCAGAGGAATGGAGAGTGGGGAAGCCAAGAGACAGCTCCCTTGGGAGCTTAGCCCAGGTGCTTTGCAATGAAATCAGAGGGGCAGGGGCTGGTCAGAGCTGATGAGAAGGAAACCTCATCTTTACATAGCCTCATGAAGAGGTGACATCATACATTCACATGCTTCTCACCTAAGTCCCCAGGGTCCAAGGGAGAAGCCCCAGACCCCCTTCTCTTGCAGAGTGTGGGGGTGGTGGTGCTGCAGGGGCAGGGCCGGGTGGGGGTCACCAGACTTTTCCTGCTCTTAGGGCAGTACAGCTGGCATTTGTTTTATAGACTCTTGTCTTTGGAATTGGGGGGAGGGGGGAGTGTTTCAATCTGTTATATGTTCTGTGTTTAAAGAAGAAAACCTATTTATTAATGAAAAATATAACACATATAAACAAGTTGACTCTATTTTATTTGTTGTTTGTTTTCTTGATCATTAATAATCAGGGAAACACTTTTCTGGAGCCTTTCTGTGGGTTGCAGAGTGACTACCTCCATGGTTCCCTAGCACCTAGAACAAAGAATTTCTTAATTTCCCCCATTCCCAGCTTCAATCCCACCCACGTCCTCTTAAGCCAAGAAAGATCTCCTTAGCCCTTAGCCCTTACCCTTTAAGTTCTAACACTTTGGACTGGAGAATGCTTTTGTTTTGTTTTTGTAAGGGGGATGGTTGTCCTATTTAGATGGCATCTGGCAGGTACTAGATGACAGTAGCATCCACTTGTTGTCATAGTCAAAACTGTCTCCAGATATTGCTAAATGTCCCCTGCCAAAATTACTTCCAGTTGAGGACTACTGTCCTACAGAATATTGAGGAGAGAGAAAGCAGCTGAGTAGCTGAGTCCCACCCCTAGCAGAAGGTGCAGAGACTGGGCTTGGGTTATAGCTCAGTTGGTAGAGTGCTTGCCTCGAATGCACAAGGCCCTGGGTTCAATCTCCAGTACCCCCCCMCACACACACACAGGTGCACAGACTAAGCCAAGGCAGGTGTAGACTTCTGAGGTGCCACTTTTGAATTCAAGATCAGGTGACCTCTGTCATTGAACTTTCAATTCCAGTTCCTACTGGGTACAGTGGTGCACACATATAATCCCAGTGACTCAGGAGGCTGAGGCAGGAGGATTGTAAGTTTGAGGCCAGCCTTAGCAACTTAGACAAAAAAAGAGGTGGAGATGTGGCTCAGTGGTTAAGTGCCCTGCCTCTGGGTTCAATCCTTGGTATCAAACCAAACCAACCAAAACCAAAAATAATTCCAGCTCCTGTTGATTGTAGCTCAGGGGCCTTAACTTTCCTTCTTCTCAATGACAGCTCTTGTTTTCCAAGTTTCATAGTGTAGTGCTAGATTAAAAGTTACTATGTACTTAAATGCTCAGCACATAAGGGATTTACCTACATTATCAAATTTAACCTTATAAATGATCATAGCTAACATTTGCTATGTTTTTGCTGTGGGCTGGGGGCACTTTTGAGTTGTGATTTATTTCTGTGATTACCCTTTGAAGCACTAGTTACTTCATTTTACAGCAAAATCATTCAGGTTCAAAGGGAGTAGTTAATGTGTCAAAGGTAATACAGCTAGAAAGTGATAGAACATGGTTGCAAATCCAGGCAATCTGGTTCTAGATTATGCACTCTTAACTATTCTGCTATCCTATCCCGTGAGACAAGAAGTATTAATTATCCCTTTTTTATAAATGAGAGAGAAAAACAAGAGGTGTCATATAACATGCACAAGGTCATGCTAGCTAGTAAATATTTGAATCAGGATTCAATCTAGGTCTCATTGATAACTATAATCCCATGGACCCCTTACTGTTGTAGCTAAACAAGAAACCACCAATATTCTTTACTAGTTCTTTACTAGACCCTCTTATCTCCATCTCCAGAGATATATATTTGTGATAGAAATAGCAAAGTAAGAAAAAAAAGTATTCTTTTGTGTGTGGGGGGGCACTCTGGATTTACTCTAGGGATGCTTTTCCACTGAGCCACATCCTCAGCCCTTTTTATTTTTAATTTTGAGACATTGCATAGGGCCTTGCTAAATTGCTGAGGCTGACCTTGAACTTTTGATCTTCCTACCTCAGCCTCCCTAGGTCGCTGGGATTACAGGCCTGTGCCATCACAGCTAGCTACAACAAGTATTATTTAAGTTTAAAGTCTTACATGTGTTGTGAGATGTGTACACAAGTACTAGGAGGAATTCTATCACCAAGAACTTGGACAATCTTTGTCACCTCTCTGAGTTTCAATTTCATCATCGTTAAAGATAATGGAGATGGTATTCTGGAAATAGGGAAAAAGCATGGATTCTGAATTTTGAATGTAAATGAATCTGGAGTCGAATTCTGGTGCCATTCTTTTAAATATATGGACTTTGAAAGCATAATCGTCCATCTGGGCTTTAATATTACAAAATATCACCCATATCACACTGTTATAATAAACTAAGTAAAATAAGTATCGAATGTTAAGTGTCCATTACTGAGCTGGGCACTTAGAAGATTCTCAATAAATTCTCAATAAATAGCTCTTAAAGGTTCTAGCTTCCTTGGTCTGATTCTTAGTTGCGGTTCCAGTCTGCGAGTAGAGAGCCCTCTAGTGTTCATTTCGTGTATTACACTCAATAGATAAACTGCGTTCAGTTTTCTCTGCGCTAGAAGAGAAAGCGTGCGTGTCCTAGAGTTACTTTGAACCATTGTGCGTGATGCTCAATGTTTATCTACCTTGAGACCTTGCTTGAGAACTGAAAATATACTCGAGGAGAAAAAACAGACCTGCAGCCATGCAGATTGAAACAACAAAGGGGACAAAATGGAAAAATGTAAGTTATCTCAACAGTGGCAACGATGTGCGTGTGTGTGTGCCCTTATTGGGATCAGAGAGGGGGCGGGAATTATGAATTCATGAGACCAAAGAAACAAAGTGAGCATATGATTTGGGATACAAAAGCTCAGGGGAGGAATTAAGTAGGGGGAACTAGGAAGAAGCAGAAACAAAAATGAGATAACCCAGATCCCAAAGGGCAAGAAAATGAGGAAGCCAGGGTCCTATCTGGAATGTTAAGAAAACAGGTGCCTCAGCTCAGGAGATACCATCCTTCCTGGAGACTTTTGGAGTCCAATGTGTTGGCTCATTTTGAATTGTCCTAATAACGGGTTGTTCAGCACTCACCCAGTTGCGGGATATTATAGTAACCCAGTTACTCCTAAACCTGGGGTAGTTCCACACAATGAACTAACCCACTTGTGAAAAACTAGTCTACTTCTGGAACCTGATCGTTAGTTTGTCTAGTTGTAAAGTGTACCGACTAATAATTTATGTAAAACCGACAGACTAATAATCTATCTCTCAGAATTTTCTTAAAAACGCTTTTCCCCAACTACCGTTACTTCATTATGTGCTAGCATTAACTAAGGAAGCTCTAAATTACTTCGCTATAAGCCACCAGTCAGGATAATCATTAACTGTAGAAGACCAGTGCATACGAAAAAGACTGTGCGGCGGGCTACACGCCCACAGAAATCTCTTCTTCCCGCAGACTCAAAGCTTTGACGGACCACATTGCCCAGCAGACCTCGCAGCCCGGCCGGCGCGCGCACCGTGCGTTCTGGGATTAGTAGTTCCCGACCTCACTGCCTGCCTGAGCCGAGCAGGCCCGGGGACTCGCCTTCCCAGCTTGCCGCGCGCCCGGGGTGCTCCACGGCGACCAGGAAATGGGAAAGATGGCGACGGCTCAGCGACGTTGAGGCCGCGTTAGGCGGTTCAGACACAGGGTGGTGAGTCCTGGGCGGTGGAGGCGGTCCCCACGATCTTGCAGAGAGGGCAAGAGTGGGGTCCACTACTGTAGCCCCTGCTTCCGGGACGAGGCGGGAAAGAATGCTTTAGTGAAAGGGCACGAGCCCGGGAAGCTCTGGCGGGCAGGAGTGTAGGAGCGCGGGCCCCAGGGGTAGTGTTGGTTGCTGAGGGCTCACTCCCACGTCTCTGGACGATGTTATGGACCTAGACCTTTGCCCATGGGTACAGCGCCTGTGATACCCCTACTCTGACCTGTTCTTGTTTCAAACAGCCCGTGCTCCTGCCAAACTGTAACTCGTTTACTCCCCAAACCAGTCCATACCTTCCCGCCTCTGCACCGCCTGTATTATTTCTTTTGAGGGGAATTGCTTCTTTTCCGCGCCCTCAATAACACATCCTCAGATTCTGCCTATACGTAAAGGCTCAAAAGCCACCTACTCTGTGGGGCCTTCTAAATCCCTTTTTACAAATGAAAGGAAAAACTGCTTCTTTTGAACTCCTGTAATACTTCATCTGAGCCTTCATCTTGGTATATGTCTCATGCCCTCTGTTGTTCTAAAAGCTTCCTGTGGACAGAATTTCATTTGTAACTCACGGCGCCTTGCACTGACCCTTGCTTATGGTACACGCTAGATAAATACTTAGATGAATGAAAAAAAAAAAATCTGCCTTTTGCTTTACAAGAACAGAGGAACTCAAAAGTGTGGAGATTTAAGAGGAAGGCTGCTGGGAAGCATAGCCAGAGGTGGCCTGGTTATCTGTAATAAAAGTTGTCTATATTTATTCTCACTTTTCACTCGCTTCTAAATTCACTAGTCATGCTTATGCTCCCTCCTTGCCTTGAAACAGCTTTTGTCAAGGTCGCCAATAATTTCCATTTTTTCAAATGTAATGGTTGCTTCTTTACTCCACTTGAATGGTACCTGACACAGTTGACCACAACCTCCTTTGGTTTCTGTATTGCTACAGTTTCCTTTTTTTTTTTTTTTTTTTTCTTACTGGCTGCTGCTTCTTTCTCGTGTGTGTGTGTGTGTGTGTGTGTGTGTGTGTGTGTGTGTGTACACACCCATGCGCATGTAATTTTTAAAAAATGTTTTCCATCTGTGGTTGGTGGAATCCACGGATGTAGAACCTTGGAGGGATATAGAGGGCTGACTGTACTGTAATAGCATTCTCAATGGTTTTATATGTAAAAGTTACCAAAAGTAATTCCCAGTGTAAAATTGGATCTCATCACATCCTGTTTAAAGCCATTCTAAGGTTTCCATTGCAGTTAACTTGAAATTCAAGTTTCTTTGCCCTGTCCTAACTCATTTTCATGATTTACTCCTGCCTCTCACTGGACTCATCTCCAGTCACCCCCCCCAACACACACACACCTCCTCAGTCACATCAGTCACACAAATCTTTTTAAACCTGCCCCAGTGTTTAGTACTTGCTGTCTCTTCTATCTAATAAGTTCTTTTCCCTGATCTTTGCATGGCTCTTTCTCTTCCATCATTCGGGTTTTAGCTTAAATGTCAATCACCTAAAGTTACTTTTCCCATTTGGTGCAGTGGCACACACCTGTAATCCCAGCTACTCAGGAGGCTGAGGC